AGACGAACACAGAAGCTAGAGTGAATGAGAAAGAAAACCCAAGAGAATAACATGTGCACGAGATTTGAATTGGTGACATATGATTCGCCTTCAATTTCGGTTGCCACAATTTCACGACACGGGAGTTAAAATAGTTATCGCTTGGAATCTTATCCTCGTCTTAATTCATTCCATTCCCTCTTGTCACCTTGGTGCATTCATAAAGTTAATATTTTGAGAAAACTTATGCACTCGCGTGAAAAATAATGAGCGCAGATAATAAGTGCAGCGCAGCACAAATGTGGATTAATATATTCGAATGCAGTGTAGAAATATTCCATTTTTGCGAAAATAGTCATTCAAAGACTTTCATATACGAGCAATGTTGACGCATACTAGCGTTACCTATGAAGGTCCGAATTTTCTATCACAGCCCAGTTTAAATCTATCCAATGACGTCCGGACACTCTGTCAGGAACGAATTTTCCTATCATAATTTATTTCAGTTTTCTTTAATTTTTATACAAAAGAAATTCTTGAAAAGACGCACGGTGGACCAAGTTGATCACGAGTTCCTGATGTTTTCTATCTCTGAATGTCTTAATTTTTTAGAGGGTCTGTGTTCTCTCGATAAAAGCTTAAAGCTGTTATAACTTTCAAAGTTTTCTCCAATTTGTATTGAAAAGGAAGTCTTGAAACGACGTAAGATGGACTAAATTAATCATGACTTGCTGAAGTTTGGCGTTTCTTTAGTGCACATTTTTTTTTATTCTTCGTATTAATAAGAGTTCCAGTTTACTGTGAAGGAATGAGCGATGAGTCCTCATTTTCATATCTCGGGGAGGTTATTATTTTGATGAAGAAGTGGCATCCTGGTCATCCAATATGATCGGCAACGGGGCAGGGGTGAAGGTGCGCCGCTAGCTTGCTTGAATCTAGATAATAATTACTCATGGTAATTTAGTAGCCACGGCGCACTTAAGCTACTGCAGCATCACCTGTATAATCATCCAGGAATCTTGTTTTTTATGTATTACCTAGCCTAATCCTTTCTTCCTTAGCCTATCGCAAGCCTTGCAAACCCCAGGATCTCCAACAATGTAGACTATATAACCGCGGTTTGCTGAATCAAAAAGAAAGTCGTATTGATGCCCATTGTCAAAACCAGCCAACGATCACACGGGTGGCACATCGATGGCCGAAATGCGAAACCTCATTTCTCCGTTTATGACGTCGCAGAGTTCTTTTCTTACTTAATTTCTTCTTTGGAAAACTGATCGAAATAATTACTTGTAAACTCCTTTGATTTTTCTTCTCTGTTATCAGAAAATTCTATGTAAATTCTGAGCATTAAAGTTGACTTTGTTCCTTTTTCAAAAATAAAATTGGAGCAACAATTTTGAGACACCGCAATGGAGATACGTGGTTTTGCTCTTTGGCTATCGGACCCGAAAAGGAAATGCAATTTTTATAGCAGAAGAGTGGTTTGCTCATTGAAAAAAGGAGTTAAATCTTATGTTCATTATTATTCATGGATATGAAGAAGAAGAAGAAGAAAAAAAAATTGTAAAAACTTAAATTACGGCTCGATTCATGAAAGAGATTTTGTCGCTAAAATGGAAGTCAATTTTTAGGAATCTTGCAACTTGAAATTAGTTTACTGGAGATATTTTTTATCCCTTGAAGTTGAGGGTGAAATGTACTAATTTTGTACATATGATTTAGGCTTTTTAAAAGTTTTTCTGCCGGGGCGAACATTTTGGATAGTTCATTAGTCAGTTACGTCTATTTGCTTCATCTCTCTATACAGGCATCTCTACTCTGAAAAGATGTAAAAGAAGGTACATGCTCGATGAAATAAACTGCGATTTGGATGCCTTATTGTGTCAATCTATTGTTTTTTGCTTAGAGCTCTTAAATAATATTTGCTACCGACAAGAATTGCATTTTATAAATACCTCTACTCAGCCTCCTCCGTAAGGCTACCAAATTTAGAAAAAAAAATTGGTCTACAACATTGCAATTAACCTCTGGGAAATTTTAACAGCCATGAGACGAAGTTAGAGTAGACATGTTACATTTTAGAGCAAACTGATGCAAAATCAAACATTATGCGACGGACAAACAAAGCTTGTAAACATTTTCATCCGGAAAAAAAAAACTAATTTCTTGGAAGATTCAAACTCTACGGGTTTATTACGGAAACGAAGAACTTGAATAGCGCGAAAAGTGAAAGGTGTAGAGGGATTAATGCTTACTTAACAGTACCGAGAATGATTATAAAAATTGAAAATCTCCAGGAAATGCACCGACATACATAATCCACAGAAAGTTTCTAAAAATGCAATAATATTCCTGGAGGTAAATCGCTCGGAAGGCAATGAAATTGACCCGTTAACACGATAATTTTGCTTTAAACGAGATTACTGCACCGGAAAAAATTCTTCATGAGGAAACCGCGGTTTATTTACTTAACCAATGCCAATATTGCCTCCGTTTGTGTTAAATAAAGCGTGAAATTTCGAGGAAGTTTCGTTCGTTTCGCATTAAGTTTGGCAAGTGTAAGTGAGAAGTCTGACAGAGACAGTGTCACGTTCGATTAGAACGTACATTCCGAGCAAAGCGTTCCGTTTGACCACCTTAAGTGGGTAAATCTGCCTGAAATCCCGATGATTTCACGAAATATTTAATACCATTTTCGGACTTACGAAAGATAACAGTTTTACGTATTTGGAACTATCCGAATTCTTGACCGTCTTATCCGTTTCGATTTTATTCCTTCCTCTTTTTTTTTTGGACATCCGCTTGCGCTTCGTGTCGATGTTTATCTACCGGTTTGCCTTATCCTATTCGTTGTTATGTTTAGTATACGCCTCTTTTTCTATCCGATTAATTAATTGCGTTTCGGAGCATGGCAACACTCTCATTTCAAGATTCAAATCCAAATATGCCGAAACAATTTTTGGATGACTACTCAGAAGTATAATCGCTCCAGATGTTCGAGTGGTTTTATGGAAAGTATAATGTGAGGAACGGTGAGGAGAGGTATCTTTAATGTTTTGTACTTATGACCATGCAGCTTCCAAAAGATTAACATTTTTAGAATAACTATGAATGGTCCTAGATTTCCTACTTTTAAGTGTTATGGAATAATCATAAAAAAATAAATAAATGAAATTAACAGTTAGGCGTGATAGCTTCAGATCACTGACTGATTTGTTTTATTTTTAAAATATTGAACATTTATTAAAAAAAGTCATTTCTCGGTATGACTGAAACAAAAAATTACGTCGTCTGCAAGTCTTTTGGTATACATTTGTGTTTCTTGCTCGTGCAAAGTGTACAAAAAAGGACTCTTAATCTCTGGGCATTTTCAATTTAGCTGGACAATTCCATCAAATTTCCCTGTAAATTTTTATAGATACATTCTAATATGAATAGCTCTTTTAAAGCGCAAATAGTTGCAAAATATGTCAATACTGATCTTGTCTCATGAGAGATCAAATAAGACCAATAGAGAGCCATTTTTGTACTGCAAAAATACGGCAAAGTTTTTTTCATTCCGCAAAAATTTCAAAAAACCCAAAATTCAGTACGCTCTCTCACACATGTTATATACGCTCGCAAAAAAACTAGAGAAAATAGTGCGCACTGAAATTAAGCATTTAAAAAAATGGCTTGAAGTATGTTTGTTTAATTTACACGCCGAGGTTAATCTTTGTTTTCATTCTTTACTATTTTGGCCCGCGAGGAGTGCGGTTTCCTAAGTTTGAAAAAATAAGTGGTAAACACAGTAAAATTTTCAGTTTAAAGAGATGTAATCGATGTTAACTTTGATTTCCACCACAGCTCGTTGATATAGTTTGAATCGTGATATTTTTCTTTGGAGATTTGTTGATGCATAAGTTCATCATTAAAAACCTTTAGTGCTCGGGTATTTATATTAATGTATTAATTTAGTTTTAGGGGGGATCAATGCTGGAAAATGCATTTGCCTTAAATAAATATAAAAACCCTCGATAAAAAATTAAATTTTCCGCTGATGTTGTGACCGATTTAAAAAAATGAAAACAAAAATTCATGAACTTTTTGATTTATCGATAAGGTTTTATCGAGCTCCGAATATGAGGCGCATAAGTTTTGAGTACAACTTGGTATAAACATACTTGTCCCACCAATTTTATTCATGAGGCATAACATCCAGAGCCCCTTACATGTAAATCACACTGGAAATAAAAACACATTGCCAATCTAGAATCCAGACTCTTAAAAACATCGACAAGAAAAAATACTCTTGATTCAATCGGATTTTTGGTTAGATCAAAAACCAAGCCTCTCAATTTGAGCTGATTTCCTTTTGATTTAAGCTTAAATCTGATTGAATCAAGAGTATTTTTTCTTGTCAATGTTTTAAAGAGCCTGGACTCTAGATCCAATGTGTTTTTTTTTTTTTCCAGTGCAACCCACAAAATGACCAAATTATACCTCAGCATCTCAGATTTCAGAGCTGAACCTCACGAGCAACAGATAAAAAACAACAACCGTAATAGGTGAATGCAACGGACTTGTTTGCTACAAACGTTTAATTTCTCTGCAACTAGTCGCACTGAACTAAAAACCAACATGAATCAATCTGTTCGCAGAGAGCACCGTGCGCCGTAATGGGGGCCATGAACATCGGTTGTGACAAGAAGCGGTCCGCAACACACGGCGACCGGATCATAATTCTTGCCTCAACAGAAACATAAAAAAAAAAACGCAAGCATCGATGTTATCTCTATCAGCGAGGCTTTTGGAGTCCTGGCGAGACCTTTGAGGACACGTTATCATTAAGTGCAGCCTTCGCAGCGAGCAGCAAAAGCTCCGAACGCAGCTTTCTGCGGAGTCATTTTTGCACTCTTTCCTTTAATGCCGAAAAAAAAAGCGGGGAAAAATTACCCGGCGCTAATTAAAAGACAGGGATCTCGTGCAAGGCTATGATAAGCGGGGTTTCAATATGCGAGGGGATAAACTCTGATTACCTCCATAAAACTGGTCATATCATAATGGCACACGGCCAGGTTGGAGCGCGACCGTTCGTTCAAGTCCTTCAGCTCGTCGTCGCTGCTCCTCCGGTCCCCGTGAATTCCTCTTCTCCTTATCGCCACGATAAACCGCGATCTATCAGGTGGATATGTAACTCTTTCACCCGACCAACACGACACTGTTTACATCCTTGCGTCCGCACTGGAAACTCATCGAAAAATTTCAGCCGACGTAAACACCGATCTTATCGGGCCGTGTCCGAGACCGACTTCAGCCCGACACAAAACGATGTTTGTGAGCGCGAACCGCGGTTTCACTGTAATTCCAAATCCAAGTAAACAATTAAAAACAAGTATAGAGCGTTTTGCCAAAACTTATCACTAAGCCACTCGACTTTAAAGGAAATTTTCTCCTCTTAGTCGAGATGAGTGCACTTTTTTCGATCGGACGGTGTTCTGAATCTGTAGAGATGGATTTCAACCATTTATGTATGAAATGACACTTTTACGGTGCTTTATGGGCAAAGCGAGAACAAAGCGATTAACACGTATTACAGCACTTTGAGGACGCGTAGACACGACCGGTCGACTGCGAACGAAATTTTCTCCTCTTAGTTGCGATGAGCACACCTTATCGATCGGGCAGTGTTCTGAAACGTATGAAATGACACTTTTAAAGTGATTAGTGGGCAAAAAGTGATTAACACATTACAGCACTTCGACCAGTCGCCTTCGAACGAAATTTTCTCCTCTTAACTGCGATGAGCACACTTTTTTCGATCGGACAGTGTTCTAAAACGTATGAAATGACACTTTTAAATTGATTTGTGTGCAAAAAGCGATCAACACATTACAGCACTTCGAGGATGGGTAGACGCGGGCAGTGTCCAATATTCATATTACATGAAATTTGATGATAATTTTGTACTATGACACTACTTTTCGAGCACTTCACTGCACGTAGAGGGTAGTTAAACGCGACGGGGCACTTTACGCACTTGATGGACACGTATTGGGATAGGTTCTTGGGGGTGGTTACACTATTTCACGGGCGAGTGGCCGCGCGGACGCTCGGCGGGTGAATCCGGGGAAAACGTGCGAGGAAATCGAGCGGCGTGAAACACACAGCAATTAGGGAATTATCGCGAGCGGATCGGATCGTCTTCGTCGCCGGCACGCGTCTCCGGAGCTATCGTAGCGTAACGTGCGCGGCAAATGTTGCTATGCAACCCGGCCCGACGTCCTTACCGCCGCCGCCGAGATTAGAGGGACTTAGCGCCGCGTCGCACACTGAACCAAACCCCACCCAAAACGGACAAACTTCCAATGCTTATAACTCCTAAACTACCAAACATAGAAGTTTAAAAAATGCATCATTAGATGCCTCGTAAGATTCCCTACAAGTTACACCCCTTAAAATTTAAAATCCGATGGGATTAGCATCAAAATCAACTGGTTTAAAGGAGAGGGGTGTTTGGTACTACTGTGCGGCGCGGTGCGGCGAGGTGGGGGCCACGCTTTCGCGCCTCCCGCCAGGATGCGCGCGCAGGCCAACCACGTGCCTTCCAGGAAGCGCCCCGAACCGCGTAACTGGCAGGCCGAGCCGCGGTGACTTAGGGGGTTCTTGCGGGCGGGCTACCGTTCCGTTTGCCCCCGTGAGCCAATCGGATGTTTCGCCCACCGCTACAGATACATAAATTAGGCGATTCCATGGCTCCGGGCTCTCCACGGTCGGAGCTCCCGGCTTTCCCAGGTGCTGACCACTTAATTGCACATCTCCGAGTTCATCGTGTGAATTTCCATGTCTGCATCACGCCGCCGCACCGTCCCGTTTAGCTTTAATAGATTTCAATCGCTCGTTGACATTGTACCACTGTCCGGCTCATCCGAGAAGTTCTCTTTGCGGATTTCTCGTTGGGCGTTCGGCCGCGGACCACCCTTAAAAATGGGGGTTGTAAAGGGGTGTAGATTTAAGAAAGTATTTTCCGCTTTCCTTTTTCTCTTTCACATTCTTTAGGCACACAGTGGCGAGGTGTGAATAATCGATCGATATTTCCCCATTTGAAGCTATGATAAAAAATCTTTTTTTAACGTATTCGTTGCGAACACCCTGTTTATCGATTCTTTCGCATAATTTTAGATGGCAGATCAATCGATTTATCGCAAAGCACGCCACGCCACTGCCTATCATGGTCTACAGGTACACACAAGCGGAGAGGACCTATACTTCGAGATGATTTAGGCAGTTTCAAACAGAATCAGCTTTACAAAAAAGCATGGTCCAGAGATTCCGTACAAAAACAGCGAATGGTGCTTCGCACTATCTACCTACTTTTACGTAAATTATGGCATTCCGGAACTCGTTAAAAAATTAAGTATAGCTATAAAATTAAGCGGAATAAATATAAAAATGCTCAAAAAAAAAGGTTAATTTGACAGCTAATGAAAAAGTTGGATTACTTATAGATCCAATGCTCATTCAGTCTCTGAATTTCCGTTCATTCGACCAATTTGTCCTCACGCTGAAAATCATGTTGGAGTTCAAACGGACGGTTGGAAGACGGACTCTTTAAACTGCTATGATGTCATTATTAGGTTGATAATGACTCTGAATTAGGGTAGATCGTAGCAGATTTGCGCGGTGCTTCATCGCTGGATTTCCCAACGAGGAAACGGAGTTACAGTTAGTCGCAAAAGAAAGTAGCCCGCTGCATGTGTCCTCGAAAATGACACACTTCAATTAGAACGTAAGAGAATCCTGCCTCGTTTTTGGCATGAGCCAAGTATTGTACAGGAGTATATACTCACTGTGGCTCAAACCGAGATTCTTCACCTATAATGTCAGTTAATGTTGTGCAAACACTGCACGCGTTACGTGTCACACCGCCAATCACGGAACTCTTGGTAGGGCAAGGACGACGTCACAAAGACCCATCAATCATCATCAACCCCGTTCAAAGATGGACTATTTTCAAACGTGTAACATCCGAAAATTCACACTTCTTATAGTTTGAAGGAGACATAATTTCATTCTATAATTTCAGAATTGATTAAAACACACCAACACTGGAAAAACACGTCTCTTGAATTCAGAGTCCTGTCTTGTAAAATATTTGACGAGGAAAAGTACTCTCAATGCAATCGGACTTGTGCTTGAATCGAAAGTCAAGCCTTTTAATTTAAGCTGATTTCCTTTTGACTCGAGCAAAAATCCGATTGAATCAGGAGTGCTTTTTCTTGTCAGAGTTTCTATGAGTGTAGATTCTACTTTTAAGAAAAAAAAAATTTTCCGGTGAACTTCTTAAAATGAATATTACTGTCATTATCTCCCAAATTTTTCTGATTTTTACGTGTGAATAAAAGAAAAATCGGTGAAATTTTTAGATATTGAACCTCCCTGCCCACTGCTTCGGAGCGAAAACACAATTTGCGAGTGAAATTTTGCGACGTCAAAATGGAGATGTGTTAATTTGTTGGAGGAACGTCGATCTGGCAGCGTCAACAGAAAAACGAAAACTTCAGTTTTTTATCGTCACCGTTGTTCAAGACGATGTTTTAAACTTATGTTCGTACACAATGCGCTTAAAAATTTCGAAACAAATCAGAGTTAAAATTGCTCGCAGTTTGCAGCGCTAGGAACAAACTTTCGAAAGAAAAAACTGCAATATCGTGACACCGCTTAACTGTCGGATTGAAACGCAAATTTGCGCCCTCCCGTAGAAGCTGAAACACTCCTAGCTAACAATAAGCACACGTTACGTAAACTTAAAATTAAGCATCAGAATAAACAGGACTTTAAGAGCTAACTCTCGGTTCTTGGGCTTGCGTCGTAGAGTGGCCAAAGGGACGCAAAATGCCTCTTTCAAATAACACCTTTCAGAATTTTAAGGCCCGTTTTATCGAACTGACCGCTTCACTTGAAGTGTTCATTAATGATCATAAACGCAGGATTTTTAACCTGTTGGCGTGATTCGCACTCGCTTGGACCCCGCTGACATGAGGCGTTGCAAGTGATTTTTTAATGACTTGGCACATTTTCCTATTGCCACACCGGTGCAGACGCACCGAATGCATTGCATTGCCGAGGCTGCACAAATTACTACTAGAACGCCTTGAATGGGATTAAAAGAGTATCGAAGGAGAACTCAGCATTCGGAAAGAGGTCGACGGAACGATAAAAATGCAGGCTTACTCCAAAGTCGCCTTTTAATTTCGCCACTTGCCGGTCAATTCACAGGAAAATGACCCGCTATCGCTTACATTTGCGCGCATAACTTACGCAAAACCTATCAGGTGCTTTTCAACCCGTCCGCATCATTGATTTCGACCCATTCGTTACCGGCCGGCAATGCTTTTTCGCGTTTTTCATTCTTTTAATGTGCGATAACTTTGTGGCTCAACTTGGAAATTAATAATATTTTCTACAATATTGCATTTTATGATGCACCGATCGCGACTGTGATGACTTGCATTTGATGAGGCAAACGCAGACGCATTTGAATATTACAAACTTTAACTGGATTTGTCGTGGAACATAATATACATACTCACTGGCGCGCTCTCAAAGCTTTCCTTGTAACTTTACTCCTAAGAGACGTACCCTTCACCTCCAGAAAATAATAATTATTACATTCCAGTTGCTAAATAAAGTCCACAGCACGGTGCGAATTTACGCATACCCAATTGCAAACAAAGTCGCAAAAAAATAAAATATTCTCTTGGAGATATGTTACAGGATCATATTTTATTTCCGGTAAATTAAATCCCTAGTCAGCACTTAGTTATGCGGCAAACGCCAACAAGGTCCATAAATAATGCAATTTAACGCATCAAACGAGTCAACACCCAAGCGGAAGAGAGTTAACTCCAATGGGCAAGGAACTCATTGACAGTGCACTTGAATTACGACTAACGGTTAATTTTGGTGCAAATGGATTCTAGGCTGTCTTTAGATAATTGACACCTTACTAACGGAATGATGATATTTATGGTGATGACGATATTTCTAATACTTTACTGTCATGGTTCATGTGTACATATTATGTCTTAAAATGAAACATAAAAAACTGTGAGGGTAATGAAATTTAGGTTAATTTTTAAGATTCATTGTTCAATTGCGTGAAAATTTTCATCCAAATTGCCATTGGTGGCGTGAACTTTAAGAATACTGATGAATGTTAGGAAAATGCATAAGATTCCTGAGAAAATCCTCCACAATTTTACCAATCAAAGATGGTAGTCATGAATTTCCTAGAATCTAGAAGCGGAGAGGTTTTATCACATTGCAAAATGAACTACACGTTAAATTTCCTTTTAAATGGTTCTCATTTTGCCACTCCGGTGGTTTGAACTTTCTTATTTGAAAAAGAAAAGAAAAAAATCTTCGTTTACGAGGTGAATTTTTCCGCCAACGAATGCGTACATTAACAGCCTGCTGAACTATGCGCCCTTTTTCGAATATCTGTCCACCTTCCTCCTTTCTTTCCTCTTGATAAATCAAGATTGGCTACTACTGAACAATTTCAAATGTAGCTCTACCAAGTTTGAGTCTGAACGAAAACAATAAGATGCATTTCGGTCGTCGTCAATTGATCCAGAGATATGCATTCGCGGGAAACAATGAGATTCCGAGCCCTTTGATTATGGGCCATACAATCCAGTTTTATTTCGGATACCTCGAATGACTCCCTTAATGATGTGAGAAGATCCAGGCGCAGCGTTGAGATGCTGGTCAATGATCTCTCAAAGCGCTCTACACAAAATACATGCATGTTTTGCAAAATGGCACCACTGTTTGAATGTGCCTCAGAAACTCCCACAATCACACCGACCATTGAAAAGACTCTAAAAAAAACCGCCATGCAAAGAGAAAAAACGCCTAACCTCAGCGGAAAAATCGTATCGAAAGGCGGTTTTGACTTAGAAGGGAAGGTGTGATTGGTGGGAGAAATAATTGGGATGGCCAAAATTTCTTTCCGCATTTAAAAGTATATTCCATCGTGAGATCCTGTTTTTACTTGGCAGCAATTGATACAGTATCGATAAGCTTTAAAATACTGCAAACATTCAAAGAAAGTTGAATTTCGGTCAATGCGATTCTCAGGAATTTTACGAGAGCATTTTTACAATAATGGCGTGGGCAACTTTTTACAACATTAGAAGATGCTAAATTAGACTGATCTGTCGAATGTCAATCGTAGTTTTCGTATCTTTTCGTCCTAAAGTGAC